TAGCCTTTAGCTAGCTGTGCACTTCACCTGAATTGCTTGATGGGCTTATGGTACCAAAATGCAGCTAAACACAACAATTTTTAAATCATTTTTAAGCCACGTCCTCGCCGCTGCCCGAGTCCGTGTGCAATCCTTTGTTTCGTAACATTCCGATAATGCCATTTCCTGCTATTATTATTATTATTATTATTATTATTATTATTATTATTGTGGATATTCCTCGACTAGATTTGATATGCTTTAAATGATGGCATGCGGGCAGGTAGAGGCCGTCTAAATTATTCATAGAGTCGACTTGGCATATCATAAACAGTTGACAAACATACTAAGCCCGTCTCCTATGGCCTGACAAAAGCCAAGGAGTTAAACCCGATTCCGCGAAGTCGAGCCGCGAAATGCCGCCAATAACGGAACTCAGCCAACGGCCAACAATAACCAAAAACCCTTTTAGTCAATTAGTCGCTGATTTTCTTTGTGCTCGACGTTTTTATTTTGTGTTTTTTTTTTTTTTTTTTTTTTTTTTTTTTTTTTTTTTTGGCTGAAATTATAATACAAATCGCATTCACAATGAGAGGCCGCAGGGCGAACCCTTTTTTGGCAGCGTTTGACACGTTTTACGATGCGTCCTAGCCAAAAAGCAAATTACACCTCTTTATATATACATATATATACATATATATATATGTATAAACTACCTATATGCAGTTTTAGATAGAGCTCATCCATAATTTTGACCTGTAGGTTTTTTATTTTTCGCCGAAGTGTTTTCATTATGCAATAAAAAAACGTTTGCCAAATGCAGCCTCTTCTGGTGCTGGAAATGCTTAGCGAGCTATCTATGGCAGCAACCCGTTCGGAGCGCCCTACCTGGCCAATTGTTTTTGCTGGCATTCCTTTCTTTTTCGTGCATAAAAAACACGCTCAAGGACGCCAGGACGAAAGGTAAAGGATTGCACAAATATTGCATCTTTGTTGCCGCGGAACGGCAACCAGCTCAATTATGTCTATCTTTGGCTTTATGGCATCTGCTGTTTCGCTTCTTCTATTTTTTACGGTCCGCCGGCTACGGGCATGGTTATATTTTTTTTCGCTGAATCTGGTTTTTACGGCGAAATTTGCAACTCTTTGGCAACGGACGCGACTTTTTATGGCCAGCAGGTAAATGGCCAAATCAATGAGCTCTTTTCCTTTCCACATATGTGTATATGTGTGTGTCTGTGTATGTGGGTGGGTGTATGGTTGCTCTGCGTTTTAGTTTAATCCACCATTTTTACGGTTGGATTAGCGCTGGATTAGCATAAGCTCGCGGTTTTTTACTGATAATTAGGCAGCGAAATGTGCAAAATCTTTTCGCGATTGTCTCTTGTTTCAATTGCCATTCAATGGGGCACTAAAAAGTGAATGAGCTGCGATAATGAACATCATTTGATTGATAGATATATGTGTGTGTATGTGTGAGCTATGATATAGGACTATCAGCCTTTTCTAGTGGACCCTTGCTTTAGGCTGACTGTGGAAATCTCTAGGGGAAGGAGTCCTGCATTTATTTCCTAGGGACGGTGTTGCATGTAGAGACGGAATACTTGTATTGGGCTGACCGTCAAGATCTCTGTGGGAAGGTGTCCTTGTGGTCCAAAGTAGTGGAGCTTATGATACTTTACATTAATTTCCTGGGAACGGTGTTGCATGGAGAGGCGAGAAGTCCACAAGCCGAAGACTTTGAATGAAGTAGAGTGCCCGAGTAAATATTCGATTCGATTAATACCCAAAGATAGATGAACTAAGTGAGGCAATAAGGAAGAAGTCGAAATAAGCTACAAATACAATTTATTACTAAAGGAACAAAAAGCAAAAAACGTGACGTTGTTGCTCAGAAATATATAATAGTACAGGAATTCTGGATTTAATCTTCTAAAATCGAATATCCAAAATTCGCGCAAAAATAAAATACGACATAAAAATATAAAATCGAATTCAGAACGCTGAATTCCTGTGCTATTATATTTTTTATTATTCTACACATCCGAAATATCATAAATATCTTAAATAATCTACTATCAATGATTCGCAATCCATTGTAATTAAGCAACATATAGATAAAGTCATAGTAAAAAGAATCTTCCATTCAATATAAATTCATCCAATGTCTTCCAGTCCGATAGCAAAGTCCACAAATGAACTTAAGTAGGCCTAGTTATAGAAGATATATAAAATATATCCTTAAACCCCTTGAGTTTTTCTAACATCAGCTGGTCTCTATCTATCTATCTTCTGCATATTTTGCTGAATCATATATTGTTTAGCCAACTAGAAGTAATAATTCAACAGTGCTAAAGGTTTAGTCGACTAACTGGACATTTCATCATGAGCAACCTTTTGAGTTATATGATTCTGATATTTGGCCAGCTATTGACACACTTGAGGTTGGGCACTTCCGCCTGTCGCGACATTGTATGTTTTTACAAACGTTGAGTCGCAGAGCCGTTAGCAGGGGCTAACAGTTAAGTAAAGTTAAACAAAAAAGGCTAGCTATCCCACGGTCAGGGCAAAGGATGCGCCGGGACAAGTGGGCAAATAGATGGATAGATCGATACAAATAAACTGGGACTGAGAATGGCGACAACACTTGTTTGTCGGCATGAATCAAAATTCGAGTGATTGGCCAAAAGCAGCACGATTTGGCCTTAGCGCGAGCTCGCCCAATGTTTCCAGGAAGGCTTTTTGCTGCTCGCCCGGTTAAGAAAGGATGCGCTAACGCGCGAAAGGCTCGCCAGCCTAATTTTCGTAATTTGTCACGCACAATCATTTGTGTAAGATGTGCATAAAATTTGCAAACACACACCCACACATGCACTCACACACACACACATTAGTCTAGGCTGATCAGCAAAAGGATTTCGCAGACAAAAGCGCAAAACAAACGGATTTAACTATTCGTAACCCTTGGCCTTAGTAGCCTCGCTCTGTCTAACTACCTCTCTCCCTCTCCCTCTCTCGCTCTCTGTCTGCCTCTGTGAATGCTCACTCTTTCGTTTCTCAACTTCAAATGCCCGCTGTGGCATTGGCTTAAGCCGTAATTGCTTCTAGAACAGCTCCTAATATCGCCTCTGCCCTAGCCTCAATTGAGCTCAAATATTTATAATCGAATAGTTAATCTTTGATTTTTATTCAAATTGTTTTCTATAACTTATAGAACTCAGATAGCTATTATTTGTATCTTATATATAAAATTCTCGTGTCACGGTGTTTGTTGCCAAACTCCCCCGGAACGATTCGACCGATTCTCACGAAATGTTGTGTGCAGGTCGAGTAGGTCTGAGAATCGGCCAACATTTATTTTTCATGGCCCTAAGCTTAAAGGATGGGCCACCATTAAATTCTTTTTCTTTTTTGACGCAACGACCTTACGATATCATTCAGTGACGCAATGTACAATGAAGCATTGATTGCTATTAAGGATCTTTACATTGTCATGGAGAATTTACCCAGTAGGCTTGATAACAGTGACAGTTTTCGGTCATGCTCTCAAGTTATTCATGCACATTTTATTAATACGTAAACGTGATTAATAAATATAGGCAATCGAATACGATATTACGTCACTGTTTATCACCAAACAGTTTTTCTACTTGATTTATTTATGTTTGATCAACAGAACACTTAAATCTAGAGGCATGCAAGATAGAGGCGCCCACAAAAATCAGATGCAGAAACGCAACAAAGCAATACGTGCATCTTAATTGCAAGAGGCACGAGATAAGCGAAGAGAAGCGCCCAGATTCGAAGTCAATAGACGTAGAGGAATTGGCTCACAACGTCCATAAGTATTTCGAGCCTCATGTTGAGTATTACGCTCATTCCAAAGTGATCATTTGTACATGGGCCAAGGAATGCCCGCACCGCCATGTCCTTAAATTCAAAAATGAGCCGATCGGGATGTGTTGCTCATCAGGAAAAGTAAAACTCTCAGAAATTAAAACATCGCCGGAACCATTGCACGGCTTCCTTATTGGTACTGGTATCCAGATTCCTCGCTGTTCTTGCATTAATCTGTATTTTCTTTTAAATGTTATTATTATTAGTAATAAATAAAGCATACTTCGGTTGTTTACAACGCTTTTGACTATAACTGCATCCCCACAAACTTATAGTAAATTAGTTATTTTGTATTTAGGTACAAAATATTCCCTAGAAATAATGGATATGGCAAAACAACGTTTGCCGGACCAGATAATAAAACTATATAATTTTATACATAATAATTTCCTTTTTTTCCTGAGTAAATTGTAGAATAATGAAACGAAGAAACCTAATAAATATATTGATTTATTCATATTGAAATCATAAATAAATACTTCTATATATACCATATATCTTATATATATAGTTTATATATCATACATCATATATTTCATATATTCACGCTGCTAAAAAAAACCCAAAAAAAAGAGACATTTTCCCGAAATGAATTAGGAATAGAAAAGTAACTCGCAAGAAATTGTAATACGCCAAATGGAACCCAACAAAAAAAGAAGCAAGGCACAAAAAAATATAACAAAAAAAAAATAAACAAACACTTTTCGCGAAAACTGCATAAAACTAATGCAAAACGACGGGAGAAGAAAAAAATCAGCAGCCGAGGCGGAAAAATATGACGAAAATAGTGGAAATCGTACAGAATAAAGGGTCAAGCGCTGGCAAACCTCAACAACCCTCGTAAAACCCTTTGAGGCTGTGCGAGAGTGGGAGAGAGGGAGAGAGCGAGCGAGCGAGCCTGACCGCATACAAGTGTGAGCGAGTGCTTGAGCGAGTGTGTGAGCGAGCGACAGAGTGAGGGAGTGAGTGAGTGTGCGACTCACCCCTTTGCCTTTGCTCTCTGGCCCAGTGCGCTGCGACTACCTGCGGCTCCTTGTTGCGGCCGCCATTTTAGTGCGAGTGCAACGGTAAATGAATGAATCGAGCGGCCGCTGCGTCGGCGTATAAAAGGCGGCCGGAATGTCGTTTTGAAATCAGTTAACGTTCGACAACGTCAGCGTGTAGACAGACGACACACCCACACACACAAACGCATAAACACGCACAGCAGCTAGACTCGACACCACACACACACACACACAAGAACAGCAACATTTTTGAGCAAGACTTTGGAATAGCAGCAAACATGTTGATGCACGAGAAACTCTTAGCTGGGCAGTTCTTTGATCTAAAGACTGGTAAGTGTAGCCACGCCCCCTCTTATCAATGCCAAGCCCGCATTTTAACACTCTCTCTTTCTCTCCCCCTTTTGCTGTGCAGATCGCAAGCCGTTGCTGCATCATCATCATCATTCCCATCATCTGCAGCAATATCAGCTGCCCCACAGCCAATTGCAGCAATCACACCACCTACACCACCATCAACAGCAGCAGCAGCATCACCAGCAACAGCAACAGCAACAGCAGCAACAAGCATCGCATCTGACTTTGCCCAAAATGGATCTGTATGCCGCCTACGCCTATCAGCAACAGTTGCTGGGCAGTGCAGCCGCCGCCGCAGCGCTCAGCCAGCAACAGCAACAGCAGCAGCAACAGCAACAGCAGCAATCTATTGCTGCTGCCGCTGAGGTGCTGGATTTATCGCGTCGCTGCGACAGCGTGGAGACGCCGCGCAAGACCCCATCTCCGTATCAGACCAACTACAGCTATGGCAGCGGCTCACCTGCCGCCTCGCCCACAGCCATTCCCAGCAATCTGCTCTACTCCGCACAGGCAGCCGTCGCCCAGCAGCAGCAGCAGCAGCAGCAACAGCAACAGCAGCAGCAGCAGTTGGCTTCACTCTATCCGGCCCTTTACTACGGCGGCAGCATCAAGCAGGAGCCGAATGCCGTCGAAGCTGTGGCCAAGTCCGGCAGCAATGCCACCGCCAGCCTATTGCAAACCTTTGCCGCCGCCTCGGCTGCAGCGGCCGCTGCTGCTGCCGTCTCGGCTAGCGCAGTGGAGCACTCGCCACGCCCGGCCAGCAATGCCAGCACCATGCAAATCGATGTCCTGGAGGCGCCTCAGTCGCCGCCTGCTTCAACCAGCGATAGCCAGCTGCATGGCAGCAGCAGCAGCACTGCCACCCACACGACACCCACCAGCAGCACCACAGCACCACTGTCCATCGCCGGTGGCGTGGATGGCAGCAAGAATACGCGCCCGTTCAAGGCCTTTCCCCGTGATCCGCTCGTGATCGCGGCCAATTTCGCTGCCACGGATGTGTTGCTGGATAATCCACGTGTGGAGCGCTATACCGAATACCGTAAGCGCGTCCTGGAGCAAATTCGCAGCTCCAATGGCGGCTCTCGCACGGTGACCAATCCGAAAATGCGACGCACCAACTCGCGCAGCGGCAGCGTCAATGAGGGCAGCAGCTCCAACAACAACAGCGAAAGCGAGGATCGTGCCGCCGCCGAGGAGTCCAGCGACTGCGATTCCCATGCCGGCAACTTCGAGAAGCTATCGGCCCCAGCAACAGGCGCTGGAGCTGGAGCTGGAGCAGCAGCAGCAGCAGCCGCTGCAGCCGGCACACTCAGCGGCAGCGGCAGCCAGGTGAAGGACGCGGCCTACTATGAGCGTCGGCGCAAGAACAATGCAGCGGCCAAGAAGTCCCGTGATCGTCGTCGCATCAAGGAGGACGAGATCGCCATTCGGGCTGCCTATCTGGAGCGTCAGAATATCGAGCTGTTGTGCCAGATCGATGCGCTGAAGGCTCAGCTGGCCGCCTTTACCGCCAAAGTAACGGTTTAGGCAGCAATAGCCAGATCGCTGTTATCGATAACCCGAATCGATTGCCAGATTGCCAGCTGCTTGTTGCGTTGAACGCGTTCGAGTCTCAGTTCCGTTTGGTTTCCACAATTCGATTTCAGCATGTTTTTTTTTTTTTTTAATCTCAAGGAGGGGCAGCTTATCTGTGAATACTTTCATACTGTTTCTTCTATGCCACTTTGAAGCCACACTCACTGCTTCTAATTCGTACAGTCTGCGGTTTTTCTATATTTAAGTGCATTACTATTATTTTTTTTTCGTCTCAAGTATTTTAAGTACTTTAAGTTCTAGGGCTTTTAGCGCAAAATCTCACCAGTTAATTAATATAGACAACTAATTATCATATTGTATAGTACAAGAATAATTTCTAAGCAACACTTTTTTTTCATATCTCTAAGCAATACAAATAAATTAAAAAAAAAAAAAAAATAACGTCTGTTTCCTTGATGGGCTGGCGCCATCTAGAGTTTGAGGTAGCCTTGCGGCAGGGCAAGCAGTGCAGCAGCCAGCTTTTTGTCATTCTGCTTACGATCTAAGTCCTTTCGTTCGAATTGGCCACGCTCGGCGAGCGAGTAAGTACATTAGCTATAATTGATTAAAATAGGAGAATTTAGCCTTAAAACTGAGAAGGTATGAGTTTTCAACGATTTGCCACGCCCCCAATAAACGCATCTATGGTTAATCTATGTCACCTATGTGCCACTACGTGTAAATACATATGTATATAAAGATCATGTATATTTATTTATTTATTTATTTTCTTAAAGCTATTGACAAAAATGAGAGTCAATTTTAATTTAAAAAAGCCTATACAAAGTACACGATATAATTTCAATAGTAACACCAACCCGATGGGGGTATTTTATTTGCCAGTCCGGCCGGCTATGCCCACGTCTCACAGCCAAATATGGTCAGTGATACTATTGAAGCTATGAAAAGAAAGTGTTAGTAAGAAAACTTAAAAAAATAAAATATTAAAATGTAGGTTATTAAACAATATTTAGCATACTTAAAATAATTCTTAAAATAATAATAAAAAATAAAAAAATAATAATAATAATAAAAAAAAAATAAAATAAAATAAATAAATAAATAAAAGGAGTTAAAAAAAAACAATAATAAAAAAAGAAAAAAAGAATAAAATAAGAAGAGGTAAAGTATAGAAAAAGAAAAAAGGCCGGTAATAAGAGAAGTTGCAAGAAAAGTTAATAAAAAGAATAAGAAATAATAAAAAGAAAAGAGTAATGGAAGAGCCAAAAATAGAGTATAAGAATAGAATTGAGAAATCACTAACACAACATTAGCAGCAAAAGCGTATGCCAATGCTTATGCCTGGGCATTGTGAGTGATTTCCCTAAGATAAGCTGATAGTACACTTTTTATTTTAGGAGGAGAGAGCTCTAAGGAAAAAACGTGATAATATTTATTAAAATTAACACAAAGAACATGAAACGCACTGTGCAAAGAATAATCCCTAGTGCACACAGGTAAATGAAGCGGACGATAGTGTCTAGTTGCTCGGGACGGAACCAAAAAATTTAGACGACCCAACAAAGAGGACGAATCAATATCACCACTAATCAATTTATGCAGAAAAACAATTCCTAAAATTGTTCTGCGATTGGTTAGCGATGGAAGATCAATTAGCTGGAGCCTACTATGATAAGACGGTAATCGTAAATTACTGTCCCATCTAAGGTCTCTTAAGGCAAAGAGAAGAAACTGTTTTTGGACCGATTCGATACGATCCTGATACAGTTTATGTTGCGGAGACCATACGACAGAACAATACTCTAGGATAGGACGCACAAGCGAAGTAAATAAGCGCTTGGTAATAAAAGGATCTTTAAATTCCTTAGACCAACGTTTAATAAAGCCAAGCGCACTTTTGGCTTCATTAATTATGGTAGAAATATGAAGATTAAAGTTAAGTTTACAGTCAAAGAATACACCAAGATCTTTGACTGTAAAGATGCGTCGTAAGGAATTATTGCTAATTTTATAATCAACAATTAGAGGAACGGTACGACTGAAGGTCATTGTCATACACTTTGAGCAATTTAGGTCAAGCTGGTTTGCCACACACCAAAGTTGAAATGCATTTAGGTCATCTTGAAGGTGAAGATGTCCATTTGCCCTGGAGTATGGAAGGCAAAGTTTTACATCATCAGCATACATAAATATAGTGGAATACGAGATACAACTAGGAAGGTCATTTATAAAAAGGGAAAAGAGCAATGGGCCCAAATGGCTACCCTGAGGTACACCAGACGAAACAAAGATAAGTTTAGACATAGCTGTTCTCAGCAAGACTCTTTGGGTTCTACCCGTTAAATAGGATGAAATCCAAGAGACAAGACTGGGTGAAAATCCTAAGCGTTCAAGCTTAAGAATTAGTATGTAATGATGTACTGAGTCAAATGCTTTACTGAAGTCCGTATAAATAACATCGGTTTGCATTTTTTTGGAAAAGCTGTCATTAACAAGCGACGTGAACTCAAGTAAATTAGAGGACGTAGATCGATTTTGAACAAAACCATGTTGAGATGGTTGAATAATCGATTTGCAAAAATGCTGCAAGGCCGATGTTATGATTTTCTCAAATAACTTCGGAATAGCAGATAATTTCGCGATGCCTCTATAATTGGAAATATCAGATCTTCCACCTTTTTTATATAAGGGAATGATGAAAGATTCTTTCCAAATTGAAGGGAACACAGAAGTATCCAAGGACAAGTTAAACAATTTTAGTAATTGTGACTGAAGAGAAACACTGCACTCTTTAATCACACAACTAGGAATATTATCAGCACCAGGAGAGAAAGATGATTTCAATGTCTTAATGGCTGCAGCCAGAGAGGATGCAGTAACTTTGGGAGTATTTATAGATCCATATTCAGGAAGAGAATTAGGATATGAGTTGCTGTAGAGATCAGCAGAAGAATAAGTGGATTGAAAAAATCAGCAAATAGATCAGAGGAATCATTGCAAGTTTTTTTCACCTCCAAGGACAAATGAGGACGGCAAACCAGAGGATTTACGCTTCGAGTTTACAAATGAGAAAAATTGTTTGGGATCACGAGTAAACTGACGTTTGCAACGTGTAAGATAATTCTCATAACAGCTAGAATTTAAAAGATTGAAGTTTGACTTGGCAATGGAATATTTGGACCAGTCAATACTTGAACCAGACTTTTTGTAATTTTTAAAACATTTAGTTTTAATGTTTCTCAAGTTCGAAAGAGTTTTGGTGAACCAAGGTGGCTTATTTGAAACTGGCGAAATACGGCGGAGAGGGACACAAACATCCAGAATAGAGTTTAAGGTAGAATAAAAAAACGATGATGCTAAATTAATATCAACCGACTCATATAAAATAGACCAGTCTGTTGAATTAATTAGTTCGTTAAGCAAAACGAAATTGCATTTACGATAACAGCGACTAAGTTTAGAAGGCATTGGAGTATTAGAGGGAGGATTGTCGATAGTTAATAAAACCTCTAAAGTGGGATGATATATATCCTCAGGTAAGGAGAAAGGAGTTGATCTCGCGACATTAATTAGCGAATCATGATTAACAAACACAAGATCAAGAGTGCGATTAAGATGGTTTGAAATAGAGTTCATCTGAAACATAGACAGGTTAAACAATTCATCAAAAAGATAGTGATCAATTGTCGGAATAAAGTAATTTGCATTACAAGTTGAAGACCAAGAAGTGTTCGGAATATTAAAATCACCCAACACAAGAAGACAATCTCTATCATTTACATGTTCATTAACTTGTTTAATACAATTTATGTGGTGAGCATAAACTTGTACATCAGAAGAGGGAGGGATATAAGAACATGTGATGTATAATGAGCACGATGGCAGAGTTAATTTAACCGCTATAATCTCCACATCATAAAGGGACGAAAAGGTAAACAATTCAGAGTGGATAATGGACTTAACCGCAATTAACACCCCACCACCTCTGCGCGACGAACGGTCGAGTCTATAAATAGTGAAATTACTTGAAAGAATTTCACTATTATGAATATTACTACTTAGCCATGTTTCAGTGAAAGCGATAATATCATATTGTACACTGAAACTATGCAAGAAAAGACTTTTAAGTTTTGAGTTTAAGCCACGTACATTTTGATAAATCAGGGACAGCTGAGAAGAGGTTTGTAAGTAATTTAGTTTTTTGGTACAACGTTTGATGAAGATTGCACCGAAGGTAAATTTACTGAAATAGGCATCGATCTGTTACGATTTTTGGGTTTAAATTCATGAACAACTACATGAGGTGGCCAGAAATTAGGGTCACAAAGGGTTTTAAAGTGTTCTACAGGCACATTGATTTTGAACGAAGCAATTTCACGCGGTGTCGCGAAACTAAACTTCGATATAAAAACATTAACCGGAATCTTATTTGAGATAAAAGCCGATACTGCCTCAATGGTAGTGTCAGATGAAAGCCTAGATAAGAAAACTTGCTTTCTAGGAGAGACAACAGATAAGGTAATGCTATGAGAGGCTGACTTATTGACACTCATTGTTTGAGCAACAATAGAAGTAGCATCCAAATTTGGGACAGGGGCTTGAGTTTCAATAGAAGCCTCAATAGGAGAAACAGATATGGGACAAGGTGAAGGAGGATCTAGAGAATTGGGAGCCGACGACAAAACAGAAGCGCAAGGTGAGGGAGGAGCAAGCGAATTAGGTGACGGTACTATTACAGAAGGAGTTACCGACAACAAAGGAGTATCCAATTGAGAGAGAGGACTTTCAAAGCCGTACTGATTTAAGATTTCCTCAGCAGCAGCCATGTCACTGGTCAACTGCATAGAAATCTTCTTCAGTTTTAAAAACTGAGACCTCACAGCACTATACATTTTAGAAAAGTTTATTTGTTTTTCCAAACAAATCGGACAAGACCAGCGTATGCCTCCACTACCAGCTTTAGTAGTAGACATAATCTTGTCATATTCACGCCCAGTAAGACCTGCACACTTAGTATGCATCATGTTATCACACAGCCAGCAACTTATAAATTGCGCTTGTGCAGAATCAACTGTTTGCCTGAAAGTGCAAGCTTTTTTGCAGCAACTCATATTGGCAATCGGGATAGATCACAAAATTACTGAATGTAAACAGAAATGTCACAACAAAGAGAGGTATAAATGTGTTGAGAGCGAGTCCAACAACAAACAGCCGTTACAGAGCGCAACGAAAATATATGTTGAGAGAGCGAGTCAACAACAAAAACAGCCGTTACGGAGCAGATCAAAAGTCCTCAGCGAGAGAGTATACTTGCACACCACAAAAATCAAAGATTCAAGAGAGGCAAATACAACAACCGTAGATAGTGAGAGCAACTTATGCACACACTCACACAAACTTAGAAAGAGTGAACTGGGGAGAGCGCCAACAAATAGAAACACTAAAGCAAAAATGCAAATAATGAAACTAATATACATACATAGTATATTGTAAGGCAATGAAGAGATGAGCAAGTATTCGAGATTTGGATGCACCTACACTGGCTGATATATCCCATAGCTACTGATCAAGAATCTGATTTCAAAACGTAGTCACAACCGTCTTATTCCGTCTGTTTGCAAAATTTCGTTCAACGAGCCCTTAGCCCTTAGTGGCGCCATCTGTTGAACTTGAATGGATAAAGTGCAGTGGTTTTGCAGCAAGCACCTTTTGTTTGGGTGTTGCTGGGAAATACAAAACTAAAGAAATTTTATATTTTTATCAATTTTTATTTTCAATTTTCGTTCTGATTTTTTTACGTTTGTCGGCCCGTTTTTGTTTTTTACTGGTTTTTTTTATTGTATTTTTTTTGTTCTTTTTTTTTATCATTAATACTAAGTGTACGCATTAAAGGTAATATATATATACAAATATGTGTATATATATATATGTGTATATATATATGTGTATATATATATGTATATATATTTATTATTTAATTGTTAATTCATTTAAATTAATTGTAGGCTTACTAAAAATTGTTAATGTTTGTTTCGTTTTAATCAGCTATGTTGCTTCTCGAATTATATAATTACGATCTACTATTACGACCCAAAACTGGGTTTAAACGAACAACAGCTTCATTTTCGCTTGTTTCTCCTCTCCTCTCCACACTTCTCTTCTCCACTCATCTCTTTTGCATTAGTTTCCTCATTTGTTTTTCAGTTTAGTTCTAGTATTAGTTGTAGTTTAGTGAAGTTCTTAGTAAGTTTACATTTTAGTATGTTGTGGTTCCGTTTAGCTTTTCAATTTTTATTATATATTTGTTTGTTGTTGTTTTTTCCTTTTTTTTTTTTTTTTGTTTTTTTTATTTTATTTATTTTTTTGTTTATGCATCATATAAGGCTAAGACGTTTGCTAAACTAATCTCTTGTATTTGCATTTGTTTTTCGTTTATATTTTACATTTGAAATATTTTACAGTTTTATCGCGCTCCCTCATTTATTAGTTAACAAAGTGTCGACAACAATTATTTGCTAAAATGCCAGCGCCTGGTTTAAGGCTACAAATTTCATATCGTTTCTCGTGTAGAAACATCCATGTGCTTGTGGGCGGGGCGGGGGGCGTGGCAGGGAGGGCTGTTAAAATGTGTATTCATGTATACATAATTAGTGTTTTGTTCTTGTTATAGTTGATGCATGTTTTTTATTTATTTGGGTATACGAATAGTAAGGAAAACTTGTTGCATTAATTTGTTTTAATTCTTGTATCTTTATTTTTGTTTATACATATATATATATATAAATATATATATATTTCCATATACATATATATATATATACATGTATATATATTTTTTATTGATATTTTTCTTTCATTCTTTATTAAATGCTAAAATTAATTATAGAAAAAAAAGTTATATATATATATATTGAAATACATGTATTTATATATATATATAGTTAAAAAAAAGCTAATTTACACAATTAGAAGTGAAATCTTTAAGGAGGTGCTGCATTGGTTTGGGGGCATAACAACATAAGTATATAGTGGGGACGTGTACTTGGGGCGGGGGTGTGTATTGTAAGGGGCTTGTGTGGTGTTGTAACTTGTACACGTGTCTGTATATAATTTAATAAGTTGTTACGTAAAAGAACTCACTCACACACACACACACACGTGCGTACAGTCACACTCACACTCACACACACACACACACACACACACACACACACACACACACTTATATTTGTTTTTCCGCCTTTCCGCCTTATATACAAAACAGATTAACTTTTTAGCAAAGGAAGAGTGAGAGAGAAATTACAGTTAGACTCGCAAATAACTGATTGTATGCGATCGCAGGCGACGCACCCACATTACGTTACACAACACTACTACAACTAAGACAACTAAGATCAATTGTAACTATGTGTGCACATTATATATTCTATTTTCGCTTTCTCTTTCTGTTTCTGTTTGTTTCTGTGTCAATTTCAGTTGTTGTTATTGTTGCACACTCTGAACGCCTTTAAGCCGCACTGGTTAGAATAAGGTCAGGAGCCATACAATAAACATTAATTAAAGGAGCTTTGACTATTCGACTGGCCCATGGGTAAATACACCTCATATATGCCAGTCGCATAACTGAAGATCTTCATGGAAGTACAATATGTTAATAAAAAAAAAAAAATACATTACAAAAAAATTGGAATCGAAGGTGATTTTATTGCTAAACTACATTCGAATCAGGAGCCTAATTTCAAGTGTAGAAAAAAATATATATGTATATATCTCTCTTAATCAGCTTATCATTTCGAGTTATCAGATCGAAAACGAAATCCATATCTCGCCAATGATTTCAGCATCAATAATATTTCTATGGCAGCTATATTGATGTCGTATATATGTATATGCTATAAGCTATATATGTATTTGTATATATCTCTATGTGTTTTCTACTCATTGAGTTTGGAATTCGGCTCTCGTGTGGCTTCGTAAGGGTATAAAACAAAACTGCAAGCGATTAATTATATGCATATTTCTAATAATAATATGCAATTGCCAGTGCAGCAAAAACGAACAGTTAACAATTATTTAAGGCTCTCAAGGAATTGCAATCTGATTTGACATTAAAGACACGAACCCCTTGCGAGTTCGATTTGTATATTTTGTATATTGCATAAGGGTTTTTCTTTCTTTTTTTTTGGGCGGGAGCGGGATTAAAGGAAAACTGTGTATGTGTGGGTGGGTGTGTGTGTGGCTCTTTACTCTATTTGCTATACATTTTGATGTGTTTTCTGTTTATCGCTTTGCCTTGCACTTATGTGATGTTTCAGCTTATGTTTTTTGTTATTTGCCTATTTCTAGGTTTTTCTAATTGAACGCACACACACACATTCACTCACGCACTCACATACACACACACACACTCACACACACACAAAACATTTGTTGTCAATATTTACGAATTGTTTTGTTTTGTTTTGTTGTTACATAAAAAATTTCGTTGCTACTTAAAAACTAACTTTGCACTTAAATATATAAATATATACTATATACTCTAGTATATATATATGTATATATAATATATAAGTTTTTTGTGTATTTACCTATGCATATGCGTGTGTATGTGTGTATGTGTGTGTGTGTGTGTTGCAATACATGTACATATAAGCTTACACATAAACTGTTGTTAACAATGTTTCTTTTTCTTTATTTTTTGTTTGTAATTCTCTATTATGTTTGCTTTTTCTCTTTGTGCACATACACTCCTCTGAGTGTAAGTGTGTGTGTGTCTCTCTCTCTGCGTATGTGTGTGTGTGTGTAACTAAATTGTATAATGTAAAATCTAAGTGGATGCTCTTGTTTCTTGTTTATGCACTTAATTGTTTAAATTAGTTAACAAGTATAAAAAAAATTAATTGCTTAAACGTAGAATTTAGAATCTTAACGCCTAAGGATAATCAAATATTACAATGCAAGTATCAATAATAATAATAATAATGATAATAATAATAGTAATATTATATTAATAATATTGTTAAAAAAAAAAAATTATTTATTTATTTTTTTTTTTTGTGTGAATTTGTTTTTGTTTTATAACCAAAGGAAATTTGCCTTTTTTTGTTAGTGTATTCTTGTGTTGTCTGTATAAACGTGTGTGTGTGTGTGTGCGTGTGTGCTTGCCTGCTTGAATCTATACACAATGCATACATACATATGTACATATTGGTAATGGTATGCATTCCATGTGTGTGTAATTGTAGTTGATTTAACATAATTATAATTACTTCGAACATTGCTTATGTTTAACAATTATAACATTGTCGATGTTGTTGTTGTTGTTGTTGTTGCTGTTGCCGTGTTTTGCTTGTACGCGCACTCCTTATGATTTAATTTAGTTGTTGCTACTGTTGTTGTTTGTTGTTGTGCCAGCCTAGCCTTGCTGTTGTCAACGCTTTAATGTTGTCCTTTTTTCCCATTAGTTGTCATATTTGTTGTTGTTGTTTTTGTTGTTCTTGTTTTATTCACGATGTTTTCTGTGGTGATGCGACCGCCGCCTATGTGTATGCAATCTGTGGCCACCGCTGTGGGACTTGCTGTGGGATCTGCTTGTCGACGACGCAGCCGTCGCGGCCGTTGCCTACAGAGTCTCCTCAAAGGCGGCCATGAGATCGCTCTGCATGTTCATATCAATTTGTCCAGCCATCTGCATAGAAGAAGAAGAAGAAAGAAGAAGAAAGACATATTACAGAAACGTGAAATCCCACTCCACATCTCTCCAAAATTCTCTGTCTATTTACCGCCTCGCGTCTGCGTCTTTCCTGTTCGGCGCGTCGCTGCTCCGCACGTTTGGCAGCCGCACGATCCTGCGGCGATTGCTGCGCCGGCGAATTATGTCCCTGACCCGGCGACGCCTTAATGTCGTCCATGCGCGTTATCTGTGGCTGAACATCGTGCACGCTTTTCCTATAAACATGAAGAAGAAGAACAAGAGAGCAGCATAGTGCATGAGTTGCATGGATGACCATGAGAAGGTTTCTCTTTGACCACTAACCGTCCACTTTCCATGGCACCCAGTGGTGAGGCAGCCAGCACTGAGGCAGAGACCGCTGCGGTGGCTTGTGCCGCTGCCGCTGCAGCTGCAGCCGCCGCTGCCGCATGCTGAGCCTGGGCACTGCTGGCGGACTGATGGCCATTGCCGGAGGCAGTGCCACCAATTGAGGCGCCACCACCAATGCCCAGATTGCTGCTGTTGCTGCCGCTAGCCGCACTGCCGCCGCCACCGCCTGCACCACTGCTGTTGCCGCCGCCCTGGCTGCTGGAGCCGGTGCCAATGTTGCCGCCAAGGCTGCTGTTGCTGTTGCTGCTGGCCGCACCGCTGCCGATGCCGCCGCCGCTGTTGCTATTGCTGCCGGTGTTGGCCAAATGTCCGCCACTGGCGCTGCCGCCGCTATTGGCGCCACCGCCAGCAGCACCACCGCTGCCGCTGCCGGCACTGCCAGGTCCATTGCTGTTGGCCGAGTTGCTGCTGTTGTTGCCGCCGCTGCTGCTGCCGATGCGCGATGCATCTGTGGCACTGCTGCTCGCCCGATCGCGTTCCCCGCTGCTCTGCGAGCCCGACTGAGCGCCCGAATTGCCGGCATTGTTGTTGCTGCTGTTGTTGTTGCCGTTGTTATTGTTGTTGTTGCTGTTACTGTTGCTGCTGCCAACACTGGCTGGATTGCCAGCCACATTGGCGAGCGCAGCAGCAGCCGCCGCCTGTGTTGCCGAGGCTGCCGCAGCAGCGGCAGCAGCAGCAGCCGCCGCAGCTGACGCAGCCGACGAGGATGAGGAGGACTTGTGATGCTTGCGCTGCTGCTGCTGTTCCTTCTCGGCAGCTTCCTTCTGGTGCTTCTTCTCCTTCTCGGCCGCTTCGAGCAGCTTGAGGCGATCACGTTCTTTGGCTTTGTTGCGGAATTGCTGGAACGAGTCCATGGCCGGCTTGGGCTTGCTCGACGTTGTCGCCGTGTTCTGCGGCGAGCTGGCCGATGCCAGCGACGACCAGGAGCTGGCATTCTTTAGATTCTGTTCAACAGTCTTGAACACCGGGAAGCCGGCGTGTGCACCAACGCCGTGCATCTTCAGATCGGAGGGCGATTGCTGTGGTGGCAGCACTTTCTGATGTTGCTGCTGTTGTTGTTGCTGCTGCTGCTGCTGCAACTGATGCTTGTCGGGCGGGCTGGGCATCATCGATTCAATGGGCTTCGGTATGATTAGCATTTTGTTGGCCGCCTGACTGCCGACCTGATGTTGTTGCTGCTGCGGCTGTTGATGGTGGTGTTGCTGCTGCTGCTGCTGTTGGTGATGGTGTTGCTGCTGCTGCTGAAGTTGTTGTTGTTGCAGCTGTTGTTGCTGCAACTGCTGCTGCAGCTGCTGCTGCTGCTGCTGCAGCTGTTGCTGCTGCTGGTGGAGCTGCTGTTGCTGCTGCTGCAATTGCTGCTGCTGCTGTTGATCACCATCCTTCAGCTTACCACCCGCATTGCCCATCATCATGGCCATTGGCATCGTATGATCCAGCAAGCTGGACGAGGACATATTGAGATTATCGAAGCCAGCCATCCCACTAAAGTCGGTCACATTGTAGCCATTGTTGTGCGCCTGCTGTTGCTGCTGCTGTTGCTGTTGCTGCTGTTGCGTCTGATGGCCGTGCTGCTTCTGCTGGTAGGCAGCCGTGGCCATGTCCAGATTGAAGATGCTGTTGTTCAGCAAATGGTTGCCATTCATGCCGGCCACGTTCTCCACGCTCTTCGTCAGCAGCTCGGTCATGTAGTCCATTTGCTGTTGCTGCTGCTGCTGCTGTTGTTGTTGCTGTTGCTGCTGCTGTTGTTGCTGCTGCAGGGCGAATTGTTGTTGCTGTTGCGCCGTCTGCTGCTGATTGCCGCCCGGCTGCTGCATCAGGTGCGCCTGGTGGGCCATTAAAAAGTTATCCGTGAGTGAGGACTTGCCCGTGGAGGAGGCGCTAAACTCCAAGGAGGCCAGCGACTGCTCCACGGGATCATCGAATTGCGGTATTTGCTTGAGGCCGGCGGCTAGCGAGGCGCTCGACAGGCCATCGTTAACGCCCATGGCCGCATTGCTGTTGTTGTTGTTGTTGTTGTTATTGTTGGCATTGCTACTACTATTGTTGCCGGTGGAAGCGAGCGCCGCTGCCAGCGCCGCATGGTGATCGCTCGCCTCGGGCTGCTTGTGCAGATTGCTAGCTATCCGTATGCCACCCACGCTGCCCGCCGCCTGCGCAGCAGCGCCAGCTGCCGCTGCTCCGCCATAGCCATGCGGCGGTATTCTAGCAGCAGCGGACGCCGTCGTATTCATTGCGGCCACCCCGTTCTTATGATGGCCCGACGAATGCAACATATTGCCCGGATCGAAGCTGCCGCCACTCGGCCCCGTCTTATTGTTGTTGTTCATCATGGCCGCTGCGACCATCGTATTGGCATTGCTCAACAGGGTATCTGGGATGGACGAACGCACGCAGACACAGTTCACGAAACGGAAACGGAAATGGAAATGAAAGTGGAAATGGATATACGGCAAGGTAAATGAGAACGAGAACGAGATGAGTCCAGTTTAGTCACAATGTCAACTGATCTACTTACTCATTTGATGTGTGGGCGTGGTGACATCCTGCATGGTGTTCAGCAGCTGATCCACATGTTCCAGATGCATTTGCATTTGCTGATGCTGTTGCGCCGTTGGCAAACCCGTCATCATACTGCCTATCATACTCTGGATTTACAAAATGAGAGGCAATCAACAGAGAGTGTGAGTGAGAGAGTGAGAGAGAGAGGATGATGATGAAAGAGGCACTATTGCGAACACACACACACTCCAGAAGAGACTTACGAAGAAGCTCTTATTATTTTATGATTATTATATTAGCTATATCCAGATCTATCCAATTGAAGCTTAGAGACCTCCTGAGATATGGAGCAGGATGTAGTTTGCATGCTTATGGCTAAGGGTTGAGCTGTAAAGCTGTCGTAGATGCTACTAATATCCATAGGACTTTTAGCTAACCCTAAGTCTTCAAATTCGTATCCTTATAAAATGCTTATATAGCTGCAGAAAATGAATACTACGGAATTTAGCATGTAAAAAAATACCATTGAGAAATAAAATACTATTCAGGTCTATTTGAACTGGAAAATTAAGCGCTCCAAAAGAGGTCTGTGAAGTCTAAATGAGGTGTAAGGAGCATTGAGGACGATATAGATATTGGTATTGGAGCATCCAAAGATGCTATTACACCGAAAATTATATAGTTGAAGTGTCTAATAAACGTAAGGTCGGTCTACAGATTTTTCATGATTATACATAATTTTCAAAACAATATTAAACAAAGGCGTTAATTCTACGAGAAGCCCTCCCCCTCTTTAACAAGGAACATTTATGGATCATTAATTATTATCATAATTATGATTGTCACAATCTAATCCTATAGCATCATCAACTCCTCTCTTAATGAAGAAAACTTAACAGATTCTCTATATAACCTACAGCACAACATAGAAACGGTTCACAATATAAACAACAGTTCACAATAATAACAATGGGAGCATTTGAATGGAATGTTAATCGTTGTTAAATAGAATCAATACAACTATCAAAGCTATGCGTTCCGTTACGTTATATTTAAACAGCTTTCTATTGGCTTTGCTCGATCATAATTACTCATTTAATAAGGTCTGTCTGTGCTGTTCGTTCTATCATATAGTTGATATTGCCCCGTCCCATTCCATAGCCAAGTCACGTGTAGATATAGCGTAGTTAAATCATATGTCGTATCTTAATTGCTACAGTTACTTACTTGCGGATCACGTGCTTTTTTCTTGCGCGGTGGTCGATCGTCAGCATCGCCTGAAATTTTACGATATTCAATATTAGTAAATTGTAGAAGGAAAAACAAAAAAAAAAAAACAAAAACATATTTTTGGTTGATTAAAGTGAGGAGGAAAGTTTGAGGGGTTAACGTTAGAGAGCAATAAAGAAATCAATAATTTATTATACATATATAGATCGAGAAATATGAGTTATGTGGGTTAAAATTAAGATAAATGCAGGAAGAAAATATTAATTGAAATAGAATTTAAGTTTAATGTGCGCACTTACATACATATACATATATATACATACATATACATATACATACACATGTATGTATATATATACACATAGATATATATATATATATATATATATACATACATAAGCTATAGGATTTATATATAGTGTGCGTATGTAGGTTTTCTATGTGTTTGTGTGTGTGTGTGTGAAAGAAAAATACCTCGATACAATTGTGGAGAACGCTGAAACCAATGTGAAGCAATTGTCGTTGGGTGGAGGGGAGTTGGGGGAGGGAGAGGGGCGCAGCATTTACGGGCGGGTAGAGTTTTTGTTGTTATTTTTATTTTTATTTTTTTTTTTTTTTTTTTTTTTTTACCAACTCTCACTACCCTGACTCCCTCCTCTCTCTCTCACACTCATCTCTCTCGCTCTCTCATTTGACTTTGTTTTCTTGCTGCCTCTTTCAATGTCTGTCTGCCTCTCCGCCCACTCCCTCCACTCACTCTTCTCTCTCTCTCTCTTCTCTCCAAAGCCTAAACTCTGTAAGAAGTAAAAAAGAACTGCCACGGCAAAAGAGAGAAACGCAACCAAAGCCATCCAGCGCACAAGAGCGGATCATCAACCAACCTTCACATACATATTATATATATATTGTATATATATATATATATATATATATTTTTTTTTTACATATTTCATGTCGTGTTTTTTTTATGCAGAGTATATTATTTGAAACGGAAATCAAAATGTTGAAAGAATGCAGAAACACAGTTGTATTTTTTTGTTTCTTTTTTTTAATAAACATTTTTCTTTGTTGTTGTATTCATTGCCTTTTTTTAGTTTTTGTTGTTGCGCTGCATTTTGTTGTTGTTGATTTTTTTTTTTCATCTCTTAAACATATTATTTATTGTGTTTTTATTTTTATTTTGTTTTCATTCTTAGCAGCTGATTTTTAATATTAAATATTATTTTTACTATAAATATTTGTAGATATAGGTATAATGTGTGTGTCTGTGTGTGTGTCTGTGTGTATGTGTTATTGTTAAATTTGCAAATAATTTATAATGCGTCTTTATGCTAAGTGTGTGTGTCAGTTGTTTGCATGTATTTGCGTGTATGTGTGTGTGTGTGTGTGTGGGTGTGTGCGTTTATCGTCTGTTCTCTAATTTCCTCGTTTCTAATTTGTTTCCTTTCTTTTAAGTTTTCCTGCCCTATTTGTATGCCTTACGTTGCCTTTAGCTAAGATTTTTACTATGTTATTTGCATTGAATTGAATTTATTTTATATATATTTTTGTTTTTATAATTTGGCTTTACATGTGTTTGTGTGTGTGTGTGTATGTGTGTGATTGTATGGGCAAAAAAAACCTTCTGCTTGTTTGCTGCTGAAACCAAAAATGCAATATTTTCGCTTTAAAATTATTCTTTTCTTCTTTTAGTTTTTATTTTTAACAAGACATTGAGCGTGTTTACATGTGTGTGTATGTGTTGTTTGGGTGTTACTTTCTAACTCTCTTTTCCTTTTGCTCTCTACTCTCACGATTTCTTTCCTTTTCTCTCTCTCTCTCTCTCTTTACATACTCGTGTTATGTTTTGTTGTTGTTTTCAATCCTTTTTTTCTGCTCGTCACTAGAAAATAATTTTTTTTTTCAAATCTAACATAGTTAAAAAAAAAATTATAACATATAATTTGTTTGCGCATTTTTAGAATAATTAAAATATTTTTCTTTTTCGAGTAACAGCAAATAAAAAAAATTGTAAAAAAGGCCCAAAAAAAAAATTCATTTTGAATTACTTGTGTGTGTGTGTGTTTCGTTCTTGTGCAAGTGTGTGTGATTGTGTTATCTATTAGCAAAAAAAAAAAATTAAATAAATAAATAATAAAACAAATCAAATATATATATATATATATATAGACAATATATACATATGTAATTTTGTTTGCTGTTGTTGTCCTTGCGTGAAATAATGTTGAAACATGGTTTTGTTTTTATTTTGTATTTTAATGTATTTATATTATTATTATTATTGTTGGTGTTGTTGTTTTCTGCTTTGCTGCTGTTTTCATTTAGTTTAATATTAAAAATTGTTTATATATTTAAATTTATTTAATGCAATTTGTTGTTTACGTTTTAATTCATTTCTATATATTTTTGCTTTTTCATTTTGCTCTTTTTTTTTTGTTTTTTTTTTTTTAAGTTTTTTTTTTATCATTACATTTTTTTTTTTTTTTTTTCGAAAAAACGTGCAAACAATGTGTAAAGGGGAAAGCCGACAGCCGAAAAATAAATAATAAAATGCGATTTGAAAATACATTTAATTATTATTATTTTTTTTTTTAACCTTCTCTCTTTTCTATATATATATATATATATATATATATATGTATGTATGTATATATCTGTGTACCTATGTCTGTACATACCTAAACTATATATATATAAGAATATATATATATATACATGTGTATATACACTGCACGGAGTCCAAAAACAAACTCCATGGCTCGACATTTTCAACTAGAACTTGACTCTGGTTTTTTATTCTTTTGCTTTCTCTGTTTTCTCATATATATATATATATATGTTAATATATATATGTTTTTTTTTTTTTTATTTATTTTTGCAGTCTGTCTGTGCGGTCTGTAGATTTGTTGTTTTCTTTAACTTTAGTTTAGTTTTAGTGTTTTTTTTTTTTTATTTTTACTTTTGGTTCCTCGACTTCATTCGCTTTTCAATTTACATTTAGTTGGTGTCTTTTTCTCCCATTTTCTCTGCTGCTTATTGTTGTCATTGTTTTTTTGTTTTGTTTTAGGTTTTTAAAAAATGTATTGCTTGTTTCATATCTATATATATATATATATATATATATACATTTATAAAGTACATAAATATATCATATTTCCGCTCGATTTACTGCACGTTCTGCTGCTACAACGGCGTCTCTCAATTATTTGTTTTTAAATATTAACTAATTTACGAGTTTCATCATCAAATTCTTTAACTATCTGTCTGTATGTATGTATATGTAGATTCTGTCTGTGTCTGTGTGTGTGTCTTAGATTGGAAGTAGCTTTCCGTTAGAGTTTCAAATTGGAAGAGTACATCATACTTTAAAAATTAGAAAACAAATCACATTTAACGGTAAATAGTGACAATGAACATACAACAACATTGTTTTTGCTTTCTTTTTTTCTTTCCCTTCATTACGTTTCGTTTCGTTTCGTTTCGTTCCCCTGACCCGTCCCGCGCGCAACTTCCCCTCGAGTCGATGGAATTGATAGAGAAATCAAGCAAACTTTAAGCACTGTGCATAGTGGGCGGAGCCATACAAAATATGAAATCAATTTGTGTATTGAGCACATATAATATTTAAGCCCAGCATTGTGCATGTATGTGTTTGTATGTGTGTGTGTGTGTGTGTGTGTGTGTGTGTGTATTTCTGTGTTTGTTTGTTGTTTTTGTTAATTGTTTGTATCATCATAAAATTTTTGTTAATTTTGTATCTAGCTAACTACTTATATAACATCCTTACCCTCCCACCCGCTTATCCCATCCCTGTCCACTCTCTCAAACAGTCAAGCGAATTCTCACTGTATTTGCTTACAAATTGTTAAATATTATTAATATACGTATTTGCTAATCGTTGATAATTGGTGTTGTTGGTTGACTTTTGTATTTTGTTTGTTTTTCATTCTTTCTTATTCTTGTATCATACTTTCTTATTTTTACACATTGTCTGCAAGTGTATTTTAATATCAATTTAAATTTCAATTATTTTTCATTGGCTTTTTTTTTTTTTTTGTATTATTATTATTTTTTATTTTGTTGTTGCTTATTTTTTATTTACTATTTGTTTAAATAATGCACATATGAATTGTGTGTGTGTTTGTTTGTGTATTTTGAATTTCATCAGTGTTTCATAATTTACTATTATTTTGTTGAATTTTTCTTTGTTCTCTTTAAAGAGTTATGAAACATATAAATATATATGTTTATAACATATTGAAACTGTTTTTATATATAAATCTATGTATATATACACACATATATATACATACATACATATATGTATATATATATATATGCTTAAGCTGCATTCACACTCCCTAATGTCTGTTCGTATGGTGAATGCGCGAGTTCATGTGCTTGTATGTGTTTATGTGTGTGTGT